TATTTCTTCAGCATACATGGTTAACTCTGTTTTTGGACTTAAAAAGCATTTAGATCCATGAAGCTCTGCCGCTGCACCTTCCCAGAGGTGAGGAAGGTGCCTACACTGAGCATCTCGCTGTCTGTCCTCCACCTGAGGCTGTCTGGGATTCACAGCCTAGGTGTGTCAGCACCTCAGATCCCCAGAAGGTCTGGGAGGAATACTCAGGGATATTATATGATTCATATAATCACTCAGTTTTGCTGCGGACATTAAGGAGCTGCTGCATTCCAGGCCCTAGGGGCAGACGGGTGAGCTTTCTGAGGGTCCCAACATCTGCACTGAAGTAATACAAGATGGTTGTTGAAAGAGCTAAGCAGAGAGCAAGTCTTAGAAACTTTCAGAAGATGCACCCTTGATTTCTGTTGTCTGATCTGTCCCATCTGTGTCCTCCCTACTTAATTCTAACTCCTGTGTTTTACTTGGATCTAAAAGCTGATTCAGAGGATACCTGTGGGCAGCCTGGCAAGTGCAGGTGAGTCCCTGGTGGGTGGGGAGCTGCTGATCTTGTGACTTTAACGGGAGGTACTGGCTGCAAAAGTGACTTGGTGTGAGAGCATGGAAAGTACTTTCTCCCTCATCCACCCACTGTGAAAGCTGTTCCACACAGTTTTCTGAAATGCCCAAGGCCCAGGTTCCCTGCTGTTGTCAAACTGAACAGCAGCTCTGACCACTGGTTCACTTTGGAGATTACCTCCTATCACAACCTAAGCCCATTGGGGCCCTCAGGTGGTGCATCCAGTCACCTAAGCAACACAAATGGTAGCTAAAGGGTTTTCTTTCAGGGATAGTTTTTAACACTACAAGGAATTTTTAAAAATCCTTGATGATTACGATACAGACACTTTAAAGGTATCAGGTCACTTTGCTTCTTCACAGCTATAATCATTTTACACAGATGAGGAAGCACTCTTAGATGTTTGGAAGCAGCTGGTTTCTCCAGCTGAAATAACTCACTCCAGGGTCAGCCCATGGATCAATGGCAGAAATTCCTGACTGCCTCTCACTAAACCATGTCCCTCCAACACCACTACTCCAGAAGGACTATTGAATCCTTCTTGTAAGGAAGCAAAAGGCCTGGAGAGTACAAGCACCCTATCATTGAAACATGTTCATGGATCTGTATTCTATCCGACAGCGGGCACGAGCACATTCCACACCTGACTTCTGCAAATCTTGCTGAAGGTCTGCAATTAGGGAAAACTCACACAGCTCAGTGAATGAAGTTTTCTCAGTAAAATCCACATAATTTAATCTGAGGGAACGTGAATCACGCAAATACAGTTATAAAAATCCAGGGCTTTTCCATACCCCTTTCTTTGGGGTGGGGTTGCTTCACCTCAATGTTTTAGCTAAATACCCCTCAAAGTAACAAAATTATTGCCCAGATGTCCCAATCTATAACATACTGACCAGCTGTTACATCATTTCGAATTAGTACATCTCTATCTCACCATCCAGAAGCATGGTGGGAGGAAACATTTAACAGTCTTCAGTGTCACACAGAATTCTTCTGTGCAGATGTTTTTCTGCATTTTCCCTCTCTTCCCTAAGTTCACTGAGCACCTAAGCTGGACTTTAGGGCAAACTAACCCTAAGAGATGAAACTCTTTTGTGCCATTTGACCTTACAAAACAAAACACAGACACAGTACCATGAGAAGAGAAAAGGTTCAGCAGCAGCAACAAAGGAGGCCAGAACTTGAACTCAGCTGCTACCTAAACTGTAGACAAACAATTTGCCAACACTCGTCAGGCCCCATCACTTCCCTGTTTGAAGAACAGATTACTTCTCAAGACCAGACAACAGCATAACACTTACCTGCAATGTCCTTCACAGCAACCTGAGCTGGGGCAGCAAGGCCAGCACCCACAAAGGTCCTTTGGACAGTGGCTGCTCATGCAGGCGGAGCTGTGGCTCTTCTCCAGAGGAAGAATCCACAAAGCTTGTTTCCTCAGGATGTTAAGAAACCACTTTAAACAGAAGAGGAGGTTTTCAGTGGTAGGTGAGACCACCATTGGCCAAAGCAAAATTCTGGGCTAGATGGCATCCATTTCATGCATTTTTCCATACAGACATGAAGTTCCTCCTAAGCCTCTCTTGTGCATCAGTAGGCAACCTGGCCTACTCAGTGGTACAGTGAGGAAAAATGCCATGAGGGCATTTGAAACTGAGGGCATTTGAAATCAATGGCATGGGTTTTTTTTAAAAAAGGGGGAATGGACAACTGACAGACAGGATGTACAGATTACTTTCTGATTTAATGTGACACTGAAGGCAGTCAGACTAAGATCCAGACCTAATAATTTGTCATTCACTCCAGTTTAATGTTACCTCTGCTTAATGAGCACAGAGGGAACACGCAGCAGTAATATCTTCAAGGACATAATTTTGCTTGTGGAGCAGCTGCAAGCTGCATGATTCTTGTTGGTTGTTTTCACATACTTCAGTCTACACAAGAAAAATGCCAGAATATGTTTCCATAGACTAAATAAGAATCCCGCCAGTTCATGTTCCAGCTCCTATGTGCTCCTGCTGTAATAGTGCAGTAGAGCTACACCACAGCCAGAGAAACTAGGGGGAAAGTCTCCTGCTGCAGAAGCAGCACATGGCCAGTATAATTTAAGCTCTATGGCGTCTGAGTTCTAAAAAGTGTCAGTAAAGGCAGCATTCCTTATGGAGCTGAATGCCGCAGGGAACTGAGAATCTACAGTCCAAAGTGGAGTCGCCCTGGCTCCTGTGCAATAATTATTTACATTTAAGCATCCTTCAGGATGCTGGAGGAGCTAAGAGCCATCTTTCCTCTCGCTTCTCAACTGGCTGTACCTCTTCTGTTTTGGCTTTCAGAAGCTCCGAACAAAATTTAGCTTTGCAAGTGAGGAAAGGGATGTCATTCTAGCAGGGGCAGCAGCATGAAACTCAAAATACACTCATACCATCTCTAGGCAGGACAAACCTGATGTGAGAAAGTGCAGTATTTTGTACCTTTAACTTACCCTCTAGGACACCACCACCCCACACACTTTCTGCATGGACACCTGGGTTAGAAAGGTAAATAAGCACTGAACTACTATTTTGAATTTCCTTTGAAATACCCAGTACTGATGAAAGGTTCTGCAGAGAACTATTATCTTTTTACTCCTTCCCAAGCCAAGGGCTGTATGGGCAGTGGCTATTCAAGCTCCTAGGAGGGAAGAGGACTTACAAGCACAACATTTAGGGATGAGAACAGATTGTAGCCTTCACAATCCACTGGGATATTTGCTCAGGTTCCTCAATTGTGAGGCTTCTGTTTTCCAGTGTGTCTGAGGGGAAGGTGCTGTGGAACAGACTGGGATACAGTAAATCTTTTTTCCTGCATTTGAGGCTGTATTTGCTTCCATTTACTGAGCTAAATAAATACCAGCAGTTGGGATATCAGGTAGATAGTTAACAACCTGCAGTGAAGACAGGAAGAGCAGCAGAGATGCCTACGCTGCACTGAAACAAGATGCAGGTGCTTCTGGTTTTGCATTCCAAATATATCCCCACTTGGGCCGGCATGTAGAGCTCCCAGACACACATCTGTGGATAAGATTTAGGCAAATAAAAGTTCTGCTAATAATAGCCCAACCTTTGAACACAGATCAAAGGAGTGGTGAGTGGAGCTACAGCCCCTGAAACCTGACTATACAACTTGTATTTTACTCATCTCTTTTTATCTTAGCAAGGACAATGACAGAAGTGAAATGGAAAAAGGAGAGTCTGAATACTTTCTGTGTGCATAATGAGTAGATTTACGAACCACACAACACTTTCTTCTGTGAAACATTTTTAATTTTCTGCTCATTTGCATTTCTGGAGTGGAAATGTAGTACACCTCACAAAAAATTACACCCATGCAAAACATACTTAGCTTCAATAAAATCAAAATGTGAAGTATTTGACATAGGAAATAAGAAATATGTTTTAAAACAAGATCACACAGAACCTGTGAAGTATCTTCCATACTAGTAGATCTTATGAATTGACCTGCAAGTATAAAATAAGGAATGTCTAATTTCCAAGAAAGATCTCCTCTGATCAGAATTTAAAAAAAACCCAAAACTTTGCAAATTCTTCCTTGGAAGACTCCAGCCTTGGAGACCTGAACACAGGTACCTGCCAATCAGGTACCTCATTTTTGTTCAGACCTCAGTTTGTGTTCAGACCTCCTCCTGCATGCTAGCGAAGAAATTCTTTCTTCACAGGAAGAGTAATTCTGGAACCAGCTGCTGTACTGTGGTGGGCAGGAGGGTATGGGACTGCCCCGGGCTATTTAGCCCTGGAGAAGAAGTGATGTGCATGGCCCAGCTCCACATCCAGTCCCAGACAGATGGGACCTGGAGTCCAAGGCAGGGAAGAGGGTGCAGTTATTCTAGTTGTACTGCCCAGCACCGCACCAGGGATGCCACATGGATGGTCGAGGTGGCTCAGGAGTTGACTTAAAGATGTTTCCATGGCATTGTACTTGCCTGTGTAGAATGGCCTTAACACCTTCAACAAAATGGTCTTTCTGGAATCTAACATGTGAAATCACAGCTTTTCTTTTTTATCTCGCTTACCTTGGGGAATACCAGGTCACAATCATAGACTTGCAGCTAACATTTTATATACAGTTTTATAAGAAAAAAGTGCAGATGCACAATTAAGGTGCCAAGATGTACAGTTTTCTCACTTCATGCATGCAGTTGACATCCTGAGTAATATTCATGAAACAGAGAATTGCGTCCCAGAATGAAAAAGCTTTAACACTTTGAACTTCATTCTCCACTTGACTGATCTGCAGAAGTTAACTCCACAGTACATTTCTGATCAAGATTATTGGGCCCAAAAAGCTAAGCAAGAAGCTTCATTTATATCCAACAGTTTCTTTATTCTGCTGTGCTCTGCGTCACACCAGAGAGCAGCCTCAGCAGAGACAGATGTTTGTTCCACTTGCTTTACAGAGATGTCATTTTAATGTTCTTTTCTCTGTCAGCCTCATGTTGGTGCTTCGTGGCTCTTCTTCCTAACACAAGCCAGATGAGTAAAGAACCCGCCAGGACCCCAGCTACTGCAGCCACAATGACAGCCCAGTAGGGGACTGAAGATTTGGTTTTCCCCAAGTTGAGATCTGAATTTCTAAATCCACTGTTTCTCAGTGTGGAAATAAAGGGTTTCTCCTACAAAGGGAGAGCAAAGGTTTTACTGACCACACACACCACTCAACAGGCAGCATTCAGACAATATGCCATTACCCCTTCCCAGGGAGGAACTGTCCATTTTTAGACAATCAGCTGTTTCTGCCTTCTGTCTATTTTAGCTCAAACTCTTTCCTGCCTTATTGCCTGAAAGTTCCCAGAACAAAAAAAGGAGCCATCTCAGAGAGTGATGGCATCATCTCCAAATTTGTTTGCTGCAGACAACCAAATGGAAATATGTAGACTCATTAAAACTGGCTTAAATTAGAGGCTTTCCACTGCAGGGAGGACAATTTCTTTTGCATTAAATTTTAAGCAGATTTTCCTGTGTGTAACAAAACAGAAATATATTTTAGCTATTTAAAGCCTTCACAAAGATACTCTTTTAAATAATTTTACCAATCAGAAGCAAGGAGAAAAATCACAGGATCATAGAATGGTGTGGGTTGGAAGGGATGTTAAAGTTCATCTAGTTCCAACCCCTCTGTCATGAGCAGAGACACCTTCCACTAGACCAGGTTGCTCAAAAAATAAAAGTGGTTAATGGAGAGTATGGACATCTTGGCCTTTACTTACTGGGTTTGGACACTTGAGTTTTGATCTGTCATGGGTAAAGTTGTTGTAAGTCTGCTTTTCACCAACTGGTTCCAACTGAAGAAGAGAAGAGCAATAGTAAACATGATTATTTCTTTCCTCCTCACACTCTCCTGACTTGGGTGGTTACAACTTTTTATCCAATCTTTTGATGCTTGCAGCAATGAAGAAATGTGGTAGAAGGTGCATCACAGGAAAGTTTCCAAAAATTTTAACACTCATTAACTGAAGATATTGAGAATCTGATGTACTGTCTGCAGAAAAACTCCCTCGGGAAGCAAGGAACAGGAGAAGCTTTTCCTTCTTTTGCACTGAGTGGAGGGGAAAATAACTCTGAATACCACATACTTTAAATACTCCACTAAAACAAAGTGGTTCACTATACACCCAGTTCTCCCACGTACGCATCTCAAATGACAGTATAAACCACAAAGGAAAAAAAACCCCACATGACAGATGTTAGTCATGTTGCTTAGCATAATACTGAAAGAAAGATGCTTTGGTGATGGAACTGACTTCAGAAATTATGTAGAGTTACAGAGACAGGATGAGACAGCGCCAAACTTTGCAGTCTTTGCTCAGACAAGAAATTCCCTGGGAGTTTTAGCTGAGGCTAAATTCACAAGATTGCAAGAAGTGAGTTAAATACAGCTTTTTATACTATCAGTTGTCAGCTAAGTTGCAATAACTGAACGTAGGCTCAACCCCGAATCAATTTCAAACTCAAAATATGCCCAGGCTAATGGCATTGCATTTGTGGTTGGCTAGAAGTGCACATACCATTGGTTGCCATAGTTAAGCTAACAAGTAGAGGCTTGCTCAGTCATGTTAACTGAAGTGTTTACAACTGTGTATGGACATGGCTGAAATAAGGACATGCCCATAGAGAACCACAGAGTTGTCATCCAGCACTTCTGGGAATACAGCACAGAGGACTGCCAGTGCTTCTGCTATTGTCTATATGTGCACTGACTGTCCTCAAGTGATTAAAGTGTCAGCTGTATGTTGGAGAGAAACAATACCACAACGAACCCAAAACAACACGGAGAAAATAAATTACCTTCAGAAGATTCCCATATGGAAACACTAGGAATATTTTCCCTCTCTAGTTCAGTAGGGAAAGGGAAAAAAAAGAAAAAAAAAAGTAGAGACTGAAAAATGAAAAGAGAGCGATGAACCACGGCAAAATGGCAAAATGTAACTAGGGAAGGGAAGAAAGCTAACAACTGGAGAACAGATGAGAAGGAAAACAGAGTGCCAAGTTTTGCTGATTGTCATGGGGTCCTGCCCACCAGCTAATGGTGTGAAGACTGAATTTAGTAGTTTTGTTGCATCTTAAAGGGAACAGCTCAAATTCAACGTGGTTATCCCTAAGATGTGTGGCTTATATCCTGTACCATTCCACCTGCAGTACAACCGGTTATTTGCAGATAATTGTAATACTCCCCATGCCAGGGCACTTGTTAAGGAGTCTGATGTAAGGCTCAGACAAAGGATGATAAGGTACAAAATTCTGTAACCAGCCATGCTTACTTCACCTTTCTTTGATCTGTTCCTCAGGAGCATTAGCTTCTGAGCTCTGAAGATGACAGTATCCCCATGTCCATGAGTATACAGGACAACTTCTAGAAGAAACATACAACTCGTCTAGAGCATGTGGTGAACATGGAGGCAAACACAAGCTAAACACGCTGTCTGTGTGCTGTTCTCCTGGGCCAGGGGACCAATGAAGTGGATTTGGGACCAGTGGGGGCCACTTCAGACTACAGAGTCCTCTGGCTTCAGAGAGCAGACACGTACTTTGCATGAAGCAGAAGTGCAAACAACATCACAGTGAGGGAAAGGCTCCTTAAGCCAACCCCATCCCTGCATACCCAGGCAGTGCCCAGGTGCAGTCTGCCCCTTTATGTGTACTGACAAGAACCCGTGTCATTTGGCCGTAAGCCTACAGCCTGCTGAGCCTTTCAGGGAACAGGGAAACAATACAGCCTTACAGTAAGCTTGCACAGCCTCGCCATACATGGACTGCAAGTGAAAAGCAGAGATGTGTTATAGGAACTAAATTTAAATAGTAAACAGTAAAATCTTCAGTTGGCACAGACCGCCAGAACTTTACAGAAGTGAACAGTTGCGCTTCACATCAGTAAGACCCTGATCCCTGCCACCCTAGTAGAAAGCTTTGTGTCAATATCCTTACATGCGTAGGAAATGAGTGACAGTCTGGACAGAATAAAACTCTAGTGGCATAGAAAAAGGACTGATGGTGATTCAGGAATGAGTAATGGCCAATGGGAACACCACGTGGCAACAGAAACCCAATTTAGGGCTACCATATGTCCAGGTACTGTCTCTTTTTCTTGAAACCTGGAGCCAGGCTCAATTTGAATGTTTTCTGCATTTGCCTGGGGTCTCTGGGCCACCATCAGCCCTGTTTGAGCTACCGCACAGTGAAGCCTACCAGACTGCTGTCATCTGGAGTCCCAGACAGGGAAGCCTGATGGAAAACAGGTAGATTTGCTGTGCATGCACAAATCAATTACTCAGAGCATGTGCATGCACTGTACATCTACTGCTTTCTATAACCCTGAACCTGCAGCTCATACGTTATACTGGGCAACTGCGCAGATTTCTGCCCTGCATTTCCCAGTCCCTGTGCTCAGGTTCATTCTGGAGTATCTTGTAAGTTTCTTATCTTGCTCAAACTTTTAGTTAAACTGAAAATAAACTCCCCTCCACTTATGCTTGTTTTTTTTGTACAAACCAGGATACATGATTACTGCTACCACAATGTGTTTGAGCACTGGTGTTTATGAGACAAGAGGAGGTAATATCGCTGTCACATGAAAATGCCATAGTCTTCCTTCCACCATGGGAGACATCACGGTTCTGAAAGCAACTGTGACCTTGGAGTTATTAGGTTCAGCATGTGTGTCTTACACACTCT